TGGTATCGGAGGTAAGTTAGACGAAGCACCATCTCTACGTAGAAGTTGAGTCCCAGCGGCATACATCCGTGTAGCGTTGTCCTGAAACAGATCATATATCTGATCGTCATCTCGAGATACTGCCCTAGCAGCAAGACTCATGGATATAAGCTGATTACCCTGAAATAAAAGGCATTACAAGTTTAAGAACTTAAGAAACTGAAAAAAAAATTGAAAAACATCGAAAGTAATGGTTGTTTTGAGAAAAATACTAACCACAAGATCCAGTAAAATCGGGTCTCCGACCTGAAAACCAATATCATCAAGATTGTCAATCGGTGATATCAAACGACGTGTGTGCCTCTCATACCACTCGTAGTATCCTGGATCTGTCTGAGGCCCACTAAACTCAATAAATGGATAGTCAACGGGAGAATCAAGTCGGCCATGCCATCTATCAACATAGATACGGTGAAAACGAGCCCAATCTCTACCTCCTGCGCCTCGACGATCATAAGAATGCAACTTAATCTCAACATCGTGATCAGTAGGATGTGGTGGTATATGCTGTATCCTACCAAACTGACGTAGCACCCTATACGGACGATGCATCTCAACTCTCTCGTAAAATATAAGGGGACAACTCGACAACCAAAGCTGTGGATGCACTATCTCAGGATACTCAATTAAAGCGCCAAACTCAGGATCTAGTTCACTATAATACATCCATGTAAACTCAGGATCTAGTTCACTATAGTTAATTGTATGGGAATCTCTGTGCACCTCTCTCGCTCCACTAGTCTCACAATAATTAGGGATGCTTTGTGTCGCCGCCAGAAAATCCGGAGTCACCTCTGGTTGTGAGAAATATGGTTCATTCAAATCAAATGCCTCTACGCTCACTTGTGGTGTGGCACTATCAATGTACTTCGGTTCAATCTCAACAAATACTTCGATTGCCTCATTCCCTTCATCCGGATCAATATACATTTGTAAATCTTCATCTGTTGTCATCTCGGTAATCATCTCCCTCATTCTTTCTCCATTATAAATGTAAGATTTGCAACACACTCTTAGCCCAAACTGATTAACATCGACATCTAGACGTTGATACAACTTTGACAGAAATTGTGCAAAGGACAAGTCACGTTTAATTCGAAATGCTGTTTTGTGGGCAATACTATATTGCACTACCCAATCATCGGGAATTATGTGACCTCCAAAGTACACGTACACTTTGACATTAGTTTTAGCCGCCATCAATCTTCAAAAGATTAAGGAGATAATTAACTCATCAATCCAGATTAATTAATAATGAGGCATATTAGTTAAAAAATAATAATTTAACTAAGCACACACACACCAAAAAATTAATTAGTTAATTTAATTTAATTGCCCGATGTTTTACAAAACAACACCATTTTAGCTATGGTTTTACAAAACAACACTAGTTCAAAAAAATTTGCCCATGCTTATAAAATATATATAGTACTAATACATAATATAAAATAAATAAACTACTAACTAACTAACTAACTACCCACAAACATCCTAAAAAACACTAATCACATGTATTTACAATAATTAATTAAAAAATTTGGACATAATATAAAATTATAATAATATTTTTTTTTAATTATTTACAATAATAATAGGAAATTACCTTGTTGGGTGAATAGCACCGGCGGCAAGGACCACGGAGCACCGGCGGCGGCGAGAGGAGCACCGCTGGCGGGGCAGGCGACGGTGGCGGAGGCAACGGCGGGCAGGCGGCGTCGGCGTCGGCACCAACGGAGAAGGATATATGTTATTTTGAATTTTAAAAATATTTTTTTTTTTTAAATTTAACCGAAGTAAAAAAAAAAAAGTAAAAAGAAGAAGAAGAGCTGGGGGAAGGGGAAGAAGAGCTGGGGAAGAAGAATTGGGGGAGGAGAGAGATTAAAGACGCCGTTGACACGGGCGTCTTTAGGAGACGCCGTTGTCAGCGGCGTCTTCTGGTCAAAGGCGCTGCTCCCGAGGTGCAATGATCCGGCTGTCATCATCTGGACCGTCGGATCAACTTGAATCTGCACCGTTGAAAAATAATATATTAAAAAATAAGAAAATATTAAAATATTAAAAATATTAAAATATTAAAATATTAAAATATTAAAATAATAATTTAAAACCAAGTTGAAGACGCCACCGGTGGCGGCGTCTCCAGCCGGTGCCGCCACCGGCGGTGGCGTCTCCGGCCGATGCCGCCGTTCACGGTGGCGGCCAATACCAATTTAATTACTACTTCAAAAATAACCCCATTTTAAAAACTCCATATTAAAACAACCCCAAAAAAAAATTGCCCCTGATTTATCATTCACCAATAAAAAAAATTATAAAATTAATTTAATAAACTAAAAGGGTAAATTACGCCTACCCCCGAGGTAAAATCAAATTACTAAAAAACTCCTTCTGTTTTGGGTAATTATAACCAACCCCCTCAACCATTAATCTTCTTATACGTTTACCTCTATGGTGTCAAATTCAATAATATTTTATAGATTCCGTGGAATGTTTTCTAGTTTTCCTCGTTTTGTGTTAAATGCAGTTTATGATGTACCACAATCTGATAATAACAATACACCTTGTTTCAAAATGTGGAGCTCGAATGTGTATTCTATATTTTTTTATTTTTTAATAATTATTTAAGGGGTGATCTTTTTGTAATTTTCAAACTTAGATCAAACGGTGTTAAGGTCAAATGTGTGAAAACTAACGGTGAGGGCCACATTGAGACAAATTTTCAAGTACATGGGGGCAAATCGATGCAATTGATAGTAGAAGGGGGTAAGGTGATATCGAGCCAAAGTACAAGGGGGTAAATCGATGCAATTGAGATTAGAAGGGGTAAAGTGATATTGAACCAAAGTACAAAGGGGAAAATCGATGCAATTGAGAGTACAAGGGGGTAAAGTAACATCGAGTCAAAGTACAAGGGGGAAAAGTGAAATTACCAAATTAAAAAATCATGCAAAATGCCAAAATAGGACTAAAAATACTATATTTGTAAAGTTATTACGTATAAAACTGAAGCATAAAAAATTAGAGGACTAATTCCTAAATAAGACAACATAGAGGACCAAAGCTACAATTTTCCCATATATATATATATATATATATATATATATATAATCAAAATACTTTTGGTTAATTTTAGTTTTGATTCAATTAGGAAATTCGGTTCTTTTCTCTCTCTATATATAATATATAATATATAAGTATAAATAAAAATTAGGTTTTGGCTATCTCTTCAACACGCCGCTGCTCACTGTTCCGTTTCTCTCCGCAACGCCGCCGATATGTCAAATTATTTTGCAAGGCCCGAGAATTCACTGAACAGAGCCGAAGGTAAATCAAATAATTGATTTTTTTAATTTTTATTTTTTTATTTTAATTTCTGTTCAATCAATCTGTTCAATAGTGAGTTTTCTCATCACTCAACGGCGTGTATAGTTTCATCCCCTCCCGAAGACACTGGGCATGGACGAGAACGCACGAGAAGATCAAGGAGGTAACGAGCATGGACCCGAACACGCGAAAAGATCATGTTCAATGGGTTGATTCAGTACCAGGGAATCTGTCAACAAATGAACATTGGTTCAATGGAGGAGGTCACAAAGCATTTGCTCCGATTGGCCACCGAAAAAGTCGAGATTGCGTCGAAGGAATTGGAAGATTCTGCTTTGAATGTGGACGAATGTGTGGACAAAGTGAAAACCAATAAAGTTAAAAATATGCATTGATTTAATGAAGATGAATTCTTTTATATATACCTTAAGCCATCGGTGGATCAACTTAAATTTAGGATTGAGGATGACTTTCTAGAGTATTCACAAATATCTTGCGCCATTTCTGAAAAATATTTATTGTGAAAAGGTTTTTAGGATTTCTAGATTTTTCATAAATCTTACTTACATTATTTTTGATTATTTGAAATTGGGGGAATTTGAAAATTCAATTTTTTTGGTCATTTGTGTAAAATACATATAATATCGTGATGAAGTAAAATCGGAGCGGGAATCTTATCCCACATTGAGCTGTTCCCGACTGTGGCTATCTCTAAAGAGAGTAATAATAATTTAATAAAATAATAATATTTAATTACGAACTTTAACTTTTGTAGCTGGCTTGAGAAAATACGATTCTTGTCAACCGTGATATCTTATTATTCAGTTCATAAAAAATAATAATGGTGACAAAATATATTAGTGCACTTATATAATTTAATTTACTAATAGATGATTTTTTTCTCGTAAAATATTGTATAGAACACTATTTGTCCATTACAAAATAAAAGAAAAATGAACAGTATATCGCGACTCATTGGTTCTTAATTCTTTAAGAAGAAAGAAAGTCGCACCATTCTTGTGAAAAAAATTCAAGGTCAAAATCTTTCGAAATCGTTTATCTTATAATGGGGCTTGATAGGAGGTTGTCGTTCGAAATTAAATCACATCTATGCGTTGTAAAAACAAGTTATAACACTACTTTCCAGAAATAATGCAAGAGTTTTTTCAGTTCTTTTGTTAACAGATATGTGTATTAAATTTCATCCATCACACAAATATTTTGAATTTTAATTATCTTTTTTTTGTTGTAATTACTAATTAAAAGGAAATTGTGTCGTCACATTCAACGAAATCAACTACTAACAATTTAAAATCCCTAATTTTTTTCGCATTTTTAGAGTAGGAATTTGGACACCATCTTTTAATTTTCAAAGTATATAAACCGATTGTCCGCCCAAAAGGAAATTGTGTCGTCACATTCAACGAAATCAACTGCTAACAATTTAAAATCCCTATTTTTTTTAGCATTTTTAGAGTAAGAATTTGGACAACATCTTTTGATTTTCAAAGTATATAAACCGAAGAAACACAATCCCACCCGAATATGCCCCGTCCAACATAATACGTGCAGTGGCAAACGTGCAATCCCACCCGAATATGCCCCGTCCAATATGATACGTGCAGTGGCAAGGAATTGAACCTGTGACTTAATAGTGGATGAAGAGTACCTTTACCACATCAACCAACAACCTTTATTGTAAGATTTTGTATAATAGTAGTAGTTGTCTAAACTCAAGGTTGTGCAACTGCACACCTAGACCATAGCTGGATCCACCACTGAATACGTGCGACTTCACAAATAGCTTCCACAAAAGGATCGAGACAAGAATTCGACTGTTTGTCGTTACGACAATATTATTATCTTGTAGTGATGCCCACGGTTCTATATCAAAGTAGCACTAGAGATCCTAAAATCTATAGGGACACAAATTTGTTTTGAACTCTCATTGAGAATACAAAAGGAGAATTTTCACAAAATATATGTTCATTCATGAAAATAATTCTTCGAATTACATGATTTAACTGGTGGCTTTTTTTTTTGTTTATATATTCTAACAAAATTGTGGTCAATAATTACAACTTTGAGGAAAATAATTATAACTTTGAGGAATATAATTTCATGAAAACGTATCGTAATTTTCGTATAAAGCAAACATTAATTCGGTTAATAGGTATTTTTTCGAACTGAATTGACACATTTCGATCGAATTAGTGTCTAAAAACCACCGTATTTTTTACGATTGTCCTTCCTTAATTATTTTCTACAACTAAATATTTGAAGTGATTTATTATCAATAAATAATTTTGAGAAAATAAATTTAACAGAATAAAATATTAAATCAATATTTTCCAATAATATTTCCAACGGTATACCAATTCCATTCGAACCCAGAACTAGATAATTTCTTTGTTATATTACTTAAATAAAGAAAAACCCCTCCCCAAGCCGTGCTTGCATTTTTCATTGCACACGGCTTCCCCAATATTTCAATTTGCACATCCTATAAGATGTGATTTGGATGCAAGCCGAAATGAAATTGCGGAATTCTGTCGATTTCAATTTGGAATTATTTGAATCCGGAAGAAATATCTTCGTTTTGATATCCAATATTCCGATTTTTGAATTTGTCAAGTTATATCATTAGAATTATATATAATTATATGGAAATTCAGATTTCCGATCCAATTTGATGTCCCGAAAATAATTCATAATAATTCCATTTTTTTCCAAAATATATTATTAACTAATTATTTAATATATTATATATATAACCACAGTACACATTTTATATTTTAATAATTGGGATTATATTAGTTTTGATTTAAGTGATTAAACGAAAGACACAAATATTTTTTTGAGTAAATTCAAATCCATTACAAGGGAAAGTAGGGGAAGGGGACTCGAACCCTAGACCTTTACCCTATTGGTAAAGACTAGGTACCAACTCTCCTAATGAGGGTTGGTGAAAGACACAGATCTATTATACCAATAAATAAAAATCGGTTCAAGTAGGAAATTCGGTTTAACTAGATTCTAAATCGGTTCAACTACGAAGACAGGGAAGATTGTAATTTTGGTCCTATATGTTAGTCTCTTTAGGGATTTACTCTTGTCTTATTTCAATTATATATGCAATCATTATGCAAAATTATTATATTTAGTCATATTTCACTCGAACTTTGAATTTTAGTCGCGCCGTTTAATGATGTACCTAACAAACTCGCATAACTTTATTTATATGGACACATAAAAATTATAAATACTCTTGTAATTTGGTTTATTGATGTGTCGTCTCACATAATTAAAGTTTTACCATTGGTAAATTAGATGTCGAATTTTTCTATTTCCAACATCCATTTAAGTAAAATGCGTCGCGCTATAGAATTAAAAAATGATGCAAAATAGAACTAAAAATACTATATTTGGAAAGTTATTGCATGTAAAATTGAAATATGATAAATTAGAGGACTAATTCTTAAATATGCCAACATAGAGGACCAAAACTACAATTTTCCCATATATATATATATAATCAAAATGGTTGTAGTTAATAACTTAATATCTCAATTAGGAACTCTCCATATATATAATATATAAGTATTAAAAAATTATATATAAGTATAAAAAGAAAAAATAGGTTTTGCTATATCTCTCTTCAACGCAATTAGGTTTTGCTGGCCGCCGCTTCCGTTCTTCGTTTTTCTTTGCAACGCCGATCTTCAAATTTTTTTCGTTTCTACGCGCCGTCGCGTTCTTCGTTTTTTCCTTTGCAACGCCGATTTCAAATTTTTGTTTCTCTCTACAACGCCGTCAATATGGCAAATTATTTTGCAAGACCCGAGAATTCATTGAACAGAGCTGAAGGTAAATTAAAGATTTGATTTTTTTTAGTTTAGTTTTGTTTTAATTTCTGTTCAATCAAATCTGTTTTATTTTGTTCAATTATCGTTCAATTGTGATTTCATCAATTCAACGATTTTTTTTTATTTTCATCAATTCAACGGTGTGTATTGCAGAATTGATCAATGTGGGTCAAAATCAAGAGGCTCTCGAAACCCTACACAGTTTCATCACCTCCCGGAGACACCGGGCATGGACGAGAACGCACGAGAAAATCATGTTCAAATACGTGGAACTGTGTGTGGATATGAAGAGAGGAAGGCACGCGAAGGATGGGCTTATCCAGTACCGAGGGATCTGTCAACAGGTGAACATCGGTTCGCTCGAGGAGGTCATCAAGCATCTGCTCCGATTGGCCACCGATAAAGTCGAGCACGCCTCCCAGGAATTGGAGGATGCTCTCAATGTAGATGATTTGGAAGCCGATCAACGGCCCGAGGATCTTATGATGAGCTATGTTAATGTGGACAAAGGAAAAAATAGATCCGATCGCGAGTGGTTCAAGTTCTTGTGGGAGACTTATCGAACTATTTTGGATATTTTACGCAACAATTCGAGATTGGAAGCCCTATATGCTGTAAGCCTGAATCCTTCAATATGTATTCACATCCGATTTCTCGATAAACTTCATGTGTTATTTGTCAGATACTTTGATTGTTGATGTTATTAATTGGGTTATCATTTGTCATAATCGAGGAGATTTCTGATTTTTATGCGATGCGTGTTCACATGGGGGTTTTTTCAATGTACTTACGAAACTTTTATTGTTCAGATGACTGCACACCGAGCCTTTCAATTCTGTAAGCAATACAAACGAATGACGGAGTTTCGGAGACTGTGTGAAATAATTAGGAACCACCTCGCGAACCTTAACAAGTACAAAGACCAGCGAGATAGGCCCGATCTTGCTAATCCCGAGAGCTTGCAGTTGTATCTCGACACTCGATTTGAGCAGCTCAAAGTTGCTACCGAGCTTAATCTCTGGCAGGTTTGTCCATTTCTTGATTCTCGTTCCCACAAACAATTATTACACTAGTTGATAGTCATGGGTTTACTAAGTCCTTTGCCTTTGTTTTATGTTGCTTGTTTTGTTTTATAGGAAGCCTTTCGTTCGATCGAGGATATACATGGATTGATGTGCATGGTTAAAAAGACACCTAAATCTTCCTTAATGGTGGTTTACTATTCGAAGCTGTCTGAAATTTTCTGGAAGTCTTCGTCGAACCATCTGTACCATGCTTATGCGTGGCTCAAGCTTTTCTCACTTCAGAAGGGTTTTAATAAGAATTTGAACCAGAAAGACTTGCAGTTGATTGCATCTTCAGTTGTTTTAGCTGCACTCTCGGCACCCCTGTACGAAACCTCGTACGGCGCATCTCATTTGGAGCTTGAAAACGAGAAAGAACGCAGTTCCAGAATGGCAAAACTTATCGCCTTTGATGTTGAATCCAGCTCTGAACATAAAGAAGTGGTACATATACGTTCAAGACTGAATAATTTTTCGCTTCATTTAAGTTGTCGATTAATTTTTTTATAACTTGAGTCTATTTTGTTACGTTTCAGCTTTCGAGGTCTGCTCTTCTCTCCGATTTGGTAAGTTAGAATTCAGTTGATTTTAATTCAAGAACCTCACTTTACGAGGATAAAACAGTCTTTTCTTGATTTGGTTTTCTTAATTTCTATTACTCTGGTCTTTTGTTTAGGTGGCGAAAGGTGTACTGAACTGTGCAACTCAAGAAGTGAAGGATCTTTACCATATTCTGGAACACGAGTGTCTCCCTTTGGACCTTGCAGTAGAAGTGGAGCCATTGTTGACCAAAGTCTCGAAGCTCGGAGGTAAACTCGCTTCCGCTTCGTCTGTTCCAGAAATACAGCTCTCACAGTATGTCTCTTCTCTGGAGAAGCTTGCTGCTCTTAGGTTGCTTCGAAGGGTACGTTTTTACCGCCAGCTGTCATTCTACTACTGGTTCAAATACTTAGTTGCGCTAATTTATCTTAATATTTATCTATCTATATACAGGTCTCGGAGGTGTATCAGACTATCAACATTGTTAACCTGTCAAAGATAATTCCGTTCTTCGACTTTCCAAACGTCGAGAAGATCTCTGTCGAAGCAGTCAAGAATAATTACTTAGCAATGAAGGTTGATTACAGGAAGGGCGCTGTTTTGTTCGGTAATAAGGTAACCATTTTTTTTCCATTATTAATTCTTTCAATTTTTTTGATCCATTATATTTGCTTTATATATAATGAATATATTTTCGTTTCAGGGTTTGGAATCAGAAGGCATACAACACCACTTGTCTGTATTCGCTGAATCCCTCAGCAAATCGAGGGCCATGATCTGCCCTCCTGCAAAAAGAACAAAATTAGGCGAAGCACTTCCAGATTTACTCGATGTGGTCGAAAAAGAACACAAGCGACTTCTTGCACGCAAGTCGATAATCGAGAAGCGCAAAGAGGAACAAGAACGCCAGCTTTTGGAGATGGTATGTGCTATTTTTTTTTGTCTATTCCGAATAAAATGTTTATTTTATGAGATATAGGCCATCTGATTTAGTATAAAACTTTCACTTGCGAATTATAAAGGAACGAGAGGAGGCGGCAAAGAGGCTGAAAACGCAGAAAATAACCGAAGAGGCAGAGCAAAGAAGACTTGCCTCTGAATTCGAGCAAATGAAGAATCAACGGATTCTGCGAGAAATAGAAGCACGTGAGCTCGAGGAGGCTCAAGCTTTACTTCAAGAAGCTGAAAAACGCAGTAAGAAGAAAGGAAAGAGAACAGTTTTAGACGGGGTGAGTTATATTATAACTGTTCGTTTATTTTGGTGAAACCCGATTATTTGATTCGACAGATTTTAAAATCAATTTGGGATTTTTCAGGAGAAAATAACTAGGCAGAGCCTGTTGGAGCTTGCTGTTAACGAGCAGATGAGGGAGAAGCAAGAAATGGAGAAGAGACTACAGAAGCTCGGAAAAACTATGGATCACTTGGAGAGGGCTAAAAGAGAAGAGGCGGCCCCACTTATCGAAACTCTGTTTCAGCATCGTTTAACTGAAGAGGAGGCTCTGCATGTTCTTGAGCAGCAGGTATATTAATGCATGATCTTGTTTTCCGTGTTATATGCATATATATAAGTATATAATATGTGTATATATATTGTGTAAATATTGTGTGTTTACTGATACGGTTTTGTTTTTTTTTTTTTCGTTTTTTGCTTTTTGATTTTGGTACACAGCAAGAGATTGATGTAAGCAGGCAGCGACATGCTGGTGACCTAGAGGAAAAAAAGAGGCTGTCGCGGATGCTGGAGAACCAGGTTGGTTATTATCGACTTATCACTTTTGTAACCCGACTATTTAGTTTTATTTACAAGAGAATTCCGATTTTCAAATTACCTCTTCATGTGTGTATAAAATGCTATGGTCGGATTCTTTGCTTGGCTTGGAAGATTTGAAATCTATTCTACCAAATTTTTCGCCTAGGGTTTTGTGGCTGAATCTCTAAAATATGATTATCATTTGAAATATGGGAACTAATATATGAATCTAATCCGAGTTTAAATCGTTAGATTTTAATCAAAGTTGCATAACTGGATTATCGCTTGCTTCTTGGCTTAACTTTTTCGAAGGTTGAAAATACGAAATTTCGAAATAGTTTTGCATTGAATTGTAGTATTTTGGTGATGCATTCTAGATTTGTTTGTACGCAAATAATTCTTGATATATTTCGCTGACATGGTGGATTGATTTATGACAGAAAATATTCCGAGAAAGAGTGGTGAGTCTTAGGAGAGGTGAATTCGATAGGCTCAAGGAGGAGAGAGAAAATAGAATCAAACAAATTCTCCAGTCACGAAAACAAGAAAGGGAAGCCAAGAGGAAAATGATTTATTATTTGCGATCTGAAGAGGAGAAGCAGAAAAAATTGCTCGAAGAGGAGGAAGCACGAAAGCTCGAAGGTACATTACGTTTCCATCTAAAATTTCAATTTAACTATCAACATATACATATATATATATTTATATATTTGACTATCATGTTTATAATGTGCAGAGCTGAATAGGAAAAAGAGAGAGGCAGCCGAGTACAAGGCGAAGCAGGACGAAATTGCCGAGAAGCAGAGGCAGAGAGAGAGGGAGGCTGAGGAAAGGCAGAAGAGGGATTTGTCTGTCACCACACGCTCTGTCGAGGTAGCGCCTACTCCTGCTGCTGCACCTGCGGCTGCTCCTGCAGCTGCTGCAGCTGCAGCTGCACCTGCATCAGCAGGCGGGAAATACGTTCCCAGGTTCAAGAGAATGGCTGCTGATGGTGCGGGGTCAACTGGAAGCCGGCCAGACGATCGGCCGGCCCCGAATGGCGACAGGTGGCGGGACGACCGCGACCGTGATCGCAGGCCTGCTGCGTATGGTGGCTGGCGTTCTTCTAAGGAATGAAAGGGGAAACTGAAAAAGTTTTACGGCTTACTAAATAATCTTTCGTTCTTTTCGAGTGGTTTAGTAACCAGAATTATGTTTGTTTGTAAACGTTTTGTTTATTTCTGAGTTCCGGATCGGATATTGCATGATTCGTTATTGGACCGGCTCGTTGCACCGCCCCTCGGATGGGTTTTCTTTTTCTTT